TCAGTGAGTGGGGTACATCACACCCCAATCTCAATGTTAAAAAGTTCAATTCCAACAACTCTAGAAACATCTTCAACCCTGAATATAAATATCTTTGGATTGTTGTGCAAGCAGCATAAAGTAGGACATGTTTAATCTAACTAAACCCTAACGACACTTCCACAAAAATAAAAGGCCAAAATGAGAAATATTCCAGTACAGAATCTTCCTGGCTTCATTTACAGTTTATTTTGATGAGTGTCAGCATAGCTTTACCTATTTAACACTAGGATAGACTTAGATGGTATTACCATCTATAAAGAGACAGTTTTAGAATTCAAGTCCCTGATTCATTTCATGTCGTCAAGGTTGAGAAATGGGAGTGTTGGTGGAGTGGTAGTACCTTTGTGTTATCACCAATACTCTGGTCCACACACCACACTCAGCTGGCTTTCAGCCTCCATGATGGCATTTGAGATGATCGACAGATAACATCAGGATATGACATCTACTAACTAATCTCATAACATTGTGCGGGTAGCTGGTCGTTGGACTCCGGTCAGTGAATGGGGTACGTCACATCCCTGCTTTGGCGTTAAAGAATCTGATAAGATGTCAAGAACTACAGTACAACAGCTCTAGAAACATCTTTCAACACACAGTCTATTGAATAGCCAACAATTGCAATGCAAGCAGCATGAAAGAAAAGACAATATTGATCATAAACTAGTATCTGCATTAGCAGTATAAAGAAAATACTACAGTTGAAAATGCTCCTGAATTGGATCCTCATAAACATCAACAGTCCATTGGTAGGAGTTATATATATGCAGCCTTTAAAATGCCAAAATAAACAGCAAATTCATTGGCACGAATGAAGTAACAATACTAAAATAAACAGACCCTGATTCTTTTCATGTCTTTGAGGTAGAGAAATGGAGTGTTGGTGGAGTGGTAGTACCTTTGTTTTATCACCAATACTCTGGACCACACACCACACTCAGCTCGCCTTCAGCCTCCATGATGGCATTTGAGATGATCCACGGATTACATCTGGACATGTTATCTATTTACTATTGATGAACATTGTGCGGGTAGCTGGTCGGTGGACTCCGGTCAGTGAGTGGGGTATGTTACACCCCAATCTCAATGTTAAACACTTCAATTCCAACAACTCTAGAAACATCTTCAACCCTGAATATAAATTTCTTAGGATTGCAGTGCAAGCAGCATAAAGTTGGACATGTTTAATCTAACTTAACCGTAACCACAATTCCACAAGTTAAGAATGCCAAAATTAGAAAGGTTTCAGTACAAAATCTTCCTGGCTTCATGTACATCCATATATTACATGTATTTTGATTAATGTCAGCATAATTTACCTATTTATCACTAGGATAGACTTCAGTGGTATTACCATCTATAAAGGAAGAGTGCTTAAATGCAAGTCCTTGATTCCTTTCATGTCTTTGAGGTTGAGAAATGGAGTGTTGGTGGAGTGGTAGTACCTTTGTTTTTTCACCAATACTCTGGACCACACATCAAACTGAGCTTGCCTTCAGCCTCCATGATGGCATTTGAGATGATCCACAGATTACATCTGGACATGGTATCTATTTACTATTGATGAACATTGTGCGAGTAGCTGGTCAGTGGACTCCGGTCAGTGAGTGGGGTATGTTACACCCCAATCTCAATGTTAAACACTTCAATTCCAACAACTCTAGAAACATCTTCAACCCTGAATATAAATTTCTTAGAATTGCAGTGCAAGCAGCATAAAGTTGGACATGTTTAATCTAACTTAACGGTAACCACAATTCCACAAGTTAAGAATGCCAATATTAGAAACGTTCCAGTACAAAATCTTCCTGGCTTCATGTACATCCATATATTACATGTATTTTGATTAATGTCAGCATAATTTACCTATTTATCACTAGGATAGACTTCAGTGGTATTACCATCTTTAAAGGAAGAGTGTTCAAATGCAAGTCCTTGATTCCTTTCATGTCTTTGAGGTTGAGAAATGGAGTGTTGGTGGAGATGTAGTATCTTTGTTTTTTCACCAATACTCTGGACCACACACCAAACTGAGCTCGCCTTCAGCCTCCATGATGGCATTTGAGATGATCCACAGATTACATCTGGACATGGTATCTATTTACTATTGATGAACATTGTGCGAGTAGCTGGTCGGTGGACTCCGGTCAGTGAGTGGGGTACGTCACACCCCAATCTCAATGTTAAACACTTCAATTCCAACAACTCTAGAAACATCTTCAACCCTGAATATAAATTTCTTAGGATTGCAGTGCAAGCAGCATAAAGTTGGACATGTTTAATCTAACTAAACCCTAACCACACTTCTACAAGATTAAAAGGCCAAAATGACAAATATTCCAGTACAAAATCTTCCTGGCTTCATTTACATCCACAGTTTATTTTGATGAGTGTCAGCATAGTTTATCTATTTAAAACTAGGATAGACTTCAATGGTATTACCATCTATAAAGAAAGTTTTAAAGTTCAAGTCCCTGAGTGATTTCATGTTTTCAAGATTGAGAAATAGGAGTGTTGGTGGAGTGGTAGTACCTTTGTGTTATCACTACTGGTACACACACCACACTTAGCTCACTTTCAGCCTACATGATCCCATTTGAAATGATCAACAGATAACATCAGGATATGGCACCTACTAACTTATCTCATAACATTGTGCGGGTAGCTGGTTGTTGGACTCCGGTCAGTGAATGGGGTACGTCACATCCCTGCTTCGGCGTTAAAGAATCTGATAAGATGTCAAGAACTACAGTACAACAGCTCTAGAAACATCTTTCAACACACAGTCTATTGAATAGCCAACAATTGCAATGCAAGCAGCATGAAAGAAAAGACAATATTGATCATATACTAGTATCTGTATTAGCAGTATAAAGAAAATACTACAGTTGAAAATGTTCCTGAATTGGATCCTCATAAACATCAACAGTCCATTGGTAGGAGTGTAACATATGCAGCCTTTAGAATGCCAGAATAAACAGCAAATTCATTGGCACGAATGAAGTAACAATACTTAAATAAACACTCCCTGATTCATTCCTTTTCTTTGAGGTAGAGAAATGGAGTGTTGGTGGAGTGGTAGTACCTTTGTTTTATCACCAATACTCTGGACCACACACCACACTTAGCTCGCCTTCAGCCTCCATGATGGCATTTGAGATGATCCACGGATTACATCTGGACATGTTATCTATTTACTATTGATAAACATTGTGCGGGTAGCTGGTCGGTGGACTCCGGTCAGTGAGTGGGGTACGTCACACCCCAATCTCAATGTTAAACACTTCAATTCAAACAACTCTAGAAACATCTTCAACCCTGAATATAAATATCTTAGGATTGCAGTGCATGCAGCATAAAGTTGGACATGTTTAATCTAACTAAATCGTAACCACGATTCCACAAGTTAAGAATGCCAAAATTAGAAAGGTTTCAGTACAAAATCTTCCTGGCTTCATGTACATCCATGTATTATTTTGATGAATGTCAGCATAATTTACCTATTTATCACTAGGATAGACTTAAGTGGTGTTACCATCTTTAAAGGAGGAGTGTTCAAATGCAAAATCTTTGATTCCTTTCATGTCTTTGAGGTTGAGAAATGGAGTGTTGGTGGAGTGGTAGTACCTTTGTTTTATCACCAATACTCTGGACCACACACCACACTCAGCTCGCCTTCAGCCTCCATGATGGCATTTGAGGTGATCCACAAATTACATCTGGACATGATATCAATTTACTATTGATGAACATTGTGCGGGTAGCTGGTCGGTGGACTCCGATCAGTCAGTGGGGTACGTCACACCCCAATATCAATGATAAACACTTCAATTCCAACAACTCTAGAAACATCTTCAACCCTGAATATAAATATCTTTGGATTGCAGTGCAAGCAGCATAAAGTTGGACATGTTTAATCTAACTAAATGGTAACCACACTTCCACAAGTTTAGAATACCAAAATGAGAAATGTTCCAGTACAAAATCTTCCTGGCTTCATGTACATCCATATATATTTTTGATGAGTGTCAGCATAATTTACCTATTTAACGCTAGGATAGACTTCAATGATATTACCATCTATCAAGAAACAGTGATCTAATGCAAGTCCTTGATTCCTTTCATGTCTTTGAGGTTGAGAAATGGAGTGTTGATGGAGTGGTAGTACCTTTGTTTTATCACCAATACTCTGGACCACACACCACACTCGGCTCGCCTTCAGCCTCCATGATGGCATTTGAGATGATCCACAGATTACATCTGGACATGGTATCTATTTACTATTGATGAACATTATGCGGGTAGCTGGTCGGTGGACTCCGGTCGGTGAGTGGGGTACGTCACACCCCAATCTCAATGTTAAAAAGTTCAATTCCAACAACTCTAGAAACATCTTCAACCCTGAATATAAATATCTTTGGATTGTTGTGCAAGCAGCATAAAGTAGGACATGTTTAATCTAGCTTAACCGTAACCACAATTCCACAAGTTTAAAAGGCCAAAATGAGAAATATTCCAGTACAAAATCTTCCTGGCTTCATTTACATCTCATTAATGAACAACACATTATTTCCCGCAGTAAGATTTCTTTATGTGGCAGTATTTTGAATTCTAATTTTATGTCTTTCTAAACATGTTCAAGAGTACTGTGTATAGTGTCGTGTATGCTGTTATCACTTTCAGACCCATGAAATGATGTACTGCTCTTGTAATCATTGAATACTTGTTGAAACTTCTTCTTTGACTGCTGGATGAAGAAGGCCCTTTGCAACAGAGCGTGGAACTTTCGCCAACCCACAATCTGGAGGCTTTGAGGTCATTAATGAACGAAACATCATTTCCCGCAGTAAGTTTTCTTTAAGAGGCAGTATTTTGAATTATAATTTTAATGTTTTTGTAAATATGTTAAGGAGTATTGTGTATAGTATCATGTATGCTGTTATCACTTTCAGACCCATGAAATGATGTACTGCTCTTGTAATCATGGAAAATACTTGTTGAAACTTCCACTTTGACTGCTGGATGAAGAAGGCCCTTTGCGACAGAGCGTGGAACTTTCGCCAACCCACAATCTGGAGGCTTTGAGGTCATAAATGAACGAAACATCATTTCCCGCAGTAAGATTTCTTTAAGAGGCAGTATTTTGAATTATAATTTTAATGTCTTTGTAAATATGTTAAGGAGTATTGTGTATAGTATCATGTATGCTGTTATCACTTTCAGACCCATGAAATGATGTACTGCTCTTGTAATCATTGAATACTTGTTGAAACTTCCTCTTTGACTGCTGGATGAAGAAGGCCCTTTGCGACAGAGTGTGGAACTTTCCCCAACCCACAATCTGGAGGCTTTGAGGTCATTAATGAACGACACATCATTTCCCGCAGTAAGATTTCTTTAAGAGGCAGTATTTTGAATTATAATTTTAATGTCTTTGTAAATATGTTAAGGAGAATTGTGTATAGTATCATGTATGCTGTTATCACTTTCAGACCCATGAAATGATGTACTGCTCTTGTAATCATGGAAAATACTTGTTGAAACTTCCTCTTTGACTGCTGGATGAAGAGGGCCCTTTGCGACAGAGCGTGGAACTTTCGCCAACCCACAATCTGGAGGCTTTGAGGTCATTAATGAACAACACATTATTTCCCGCAGTAAGATTTCTTTAAGTGGCAGTATTTTGAATTATAATTTTAATGTCCTTATAAACATGTTAAGGAGTATTGTGTATGGTGTCATGTATGCTGTTATCACTTTCAGACCCATGAAATGATGTACTGCTCTTGTAATCATTGAATACTTGTTGAAACTTCTTCTTTGACTGCTGGATGAAGAAGGCCCTTTGCGACAGAGCGTGGAACTTTCGCCAACCCACAATCTGGAGGCTTTGAGGTCATTAATGAACGAAACATCATTTCCCGCAGTAAGATTTCTTTAAGAGGCAGTATTTTGAATTATAATTTTAATGTTTTTGTAAATATGTTAAGGAGTATTGTGTATAGTATCATGTATGCTGTTATCACTTTCAGACCCATGAAATGATGTACTGCTCTTGTAATCATGGAAAATACTTGTTGAAACTTCCTCTTTGACTGCTGGATGAAGAAGGCCCTTTGCAACAGAGCGTGGAACTTTCGCCAACCCACAATCTGGAGGCTTTGAGGTCATAAATGAACGAAACATCATTTCCCGCAGTAAGATTTCTTTAAGAGGCAGTATTTTGAATTATAATTTTAATGTCTTTGTAAATATGTTAAGGAGTATTGTGTATAGTATCATGTATGCTGTTATCACTTTCAGACCCATGAAATGATGTACTGCTCTTGTAATCATTGAATACTTGTTGAAACTTCCTCTTTGACTGCTGGATGAAGAAGGCCCTTTGCGACAGAGTGTGGAACTTTCGCCAACCCACAATCTGGAGGCTTTGAGGTCATTAATGAACGACACATCATTTCCCGCAGTAAGATTTCTTTAAGAGGCAGTATTTTGAATTATAATTTTAATGTCTTTGTAAACATGTTAAGGAGAATTGTGTATAGTATCATGTATGCTGTTATCACTTTCAGACCCATGAAATGATGTACTGCTCTTGTAATCATAGAAAATACTTGTTGAAACTTCCTCTTTGACTGCTGGATGAAGAAGGCCCTTTGCGACAGAGCGTGGAACTTTCGCCAACCCACAATCTGGAGGCTTTGAGGTCATTAATGAACGACACATCATTTCCCGCAGTAAGATTCCTTTAAGTGGCAGTATTTTGAATTATAATTTTAATGTCCTTATAAACATGTTAAGGTGTATCGTGTATGGTGTCATGTATGCTGTTATCACTTTCAGACCCATGAAATGATGTACTGCTCTTGTAATCATTGAATACTTGTTGAAACTTCCTCTTTGACTGCTGGATGAAGAAGGCCCTTTGCGACAGAGTGTGGAACTTTCGCCAACCCACAATCTGGAGGCTTTGAGGTCATTAATGAACGAAACATCATTTCCCGCAGTAAGATTTCTTTAAGAGGCAGTATTTTGAATTATAATTTTAATGTTTTTGTAAATATGTTAAGGAGTATTGTGTATAGTATCATGTATGCTGTTATCACTTTCAGACCCATGAAATGATGTACTGCTCTTGTAATCATGGAAAATACTTGTTGAAACTTCCTCTTTGACTGCTGGATGAAGAAGGCCCTTTGCAACAGAGCGTGGAACTTTCGCCAACCCACAATCTGGAGGCTTTGAGGTCATAAATGAACGAAACATCATTTCCCGCAGTAAGATTTCTTTAAGAGGCAGTATTTTGAATTATAATTTTAATGTCTTTGTAAATATGTTAAGGAGTATTGTGTATAGTATCATGTATGCTGTTATCACTTTCAGACCCATGAAATGATGTACTGCTCTTGTAATCATTGAATACTTGTTGAAACTTCCTCTTTGACTGCTGGATGAAGAAGGCCCTTTGCGACAGAGTGTGGAACTTTCGCCAACCCACAATCTGGAGGCTTTGAGGTCATTAATGAACGACACATCATTTCCCGCAGTAAGATTTCTTTAAGAGGCAGTATTTTGAATTATAATTTTAATGTCTTTGTAAACATGTTAAGGAGAATTGTGTATAGTATCATGTATGCTGTTATCACTTTCAGACCCATGAAATGATGTACTGCTCTTGTAATCATGGAAAATACTTGTTGAAACTTCCTCTTTGACTGCTGGATGAAGAAGGCCCTTTGCGACAGAGCGTGGAACTTTCGCCAACCCACAATCTGGAGGCTTTGAGGTCATTAATGAATGACACATCATTTCCCGCAGTAAGATTCCTTTAAGTGGCAGTATTTTGAATTATAATTTTAATGTCCTTATAAACATGTTAAGGTGTATCGTGTATGGTGTCATATATGCTGTTATCATTTTCAGACCCATGAAATGATGTACTGCTCTTGTAATCATTGAATACTTGTTGAAACTTCCTCTTTGACTGCTGGATGAAGAAGGCCCTTTGCGACAGAGCGTGAAACTTTCGCCAACCCACAATCTGGAGGCTTTGAGGTCATTAATGAACGACACATCATTTCCCGCAGTAAGATTTCTTAAAATGGCAGTATTTTGAATTTTAATTTTAATGCTTTTGTAAATATGTTAAGGTGTACTGTGTATAGTGTCGTGTATGCTTTTATCACTTTCAGACCCATGAAATGATGTACTGCTCTTGTAATCATTGAATACTTGTTGAAACTTCCTCTTTGACTCCTGGATGAAGAAGGCCCTTTGCGACAGAGCGTGGAACTTTCGCCAACCCACAATCTGGAGGCTTTGAGGTCATTAATGAACGAAACATCATTTCCTGCAGTAAGATTTCTTTAAGAGGCAGTATTTTGAATTATAATTTTTATGTCTTTGTAAATATGTTACGGAGAATTGTGTATGGTGTCCTGTATCTGTTATCACTTTCAGACCCATGAAATGATGTACTGCTCTTGTAATCATGGAAAATACTTGTTGAAACTTCCACTTTGACTGCTGGATGAAGAAGGCCCTTTGCGACAGAGTGTGGAACTTTCGCCAACCCACAATCTGGAGGCTTTGAGGTCATTAATGAACAACACATCATTTCCCGCAGTAAGAATTCTTTTGTGGGAAGAGTGCAGTTTATATTTAATGTCCATTTACAAAAAGAGTATTGTTTTTTATGTTTATTGTAATGTGTGTTGTCATTTCAGACCCATGAAATGATGTACAACTGTTGTGATCTGTGAATACTTGTTGAATCATTCTGCTTACCTGTTTGAGAAAGAAGGCCCTTTGCAACAGAGCGTGGAACTTTCGCCAATCCACAATCTGGAGGCTTTGAGGTCATTTGAAGGACACATCATTTGCTGCAGTAAGAATTCTTTTCTGGGAGGAGTGCAGTTCAAGTTTTATATACATTCATAAAAAGTGTATTGTTTTTCATGTTAAGTGTAATAAGTGAAAATATTTCAGACCCATGAAATGATGTACAACTGTTGTGATCTGTGAATACTTGTTGAATCATCCTGCTTGCCTGTTTGAGAAAGAAGGCCCTTTGCAACAGAGAGTGGAACTTTCGCCAACCCACAATCTGAAGGCTTTGAGGTCATTTGAAGGACACATCATTTCCCGCAGTAAGAATTCTTTTGTGGGAAGAGTGCAGTTTATATTTAATGTCCATTTACAAAAAGAGTATTGTTTTTTATGTTTATTGTAATGTGTGTTGTCATTTCAGACCCATGAAATGATGTACAACTGTTGTGATCTGTGAATACTTGTTGAATCATCCTTCTTGCTTGTTTGAGATGGAAGGCCCTTTGCATCAGAGAGTGGAACTTTCGCCAACCCACAATCTGAAGGCTTTGAGGTCATTTGAAGGACACATCATTTCCCGCAGTAAGAATTCTTTTGTGGGAAGAGTACAGTTCATATTTAATGTCCATTTACAAAAAGAGTATTGTTTTTTATGTTTATTGTAATGTGTGTTGTCATTTCAGACCCATGAAATGATGTACAACTGTTGTGATCTGTGAATACTTGTTGAATCATTCTGCTTACCTGTTTGAGAAAGAAGGTCCTTTGCAACAGAGCGTGGAACTTTCGCCAATCCACAATCTGGAGGCTTTGAGGTCATTTGAAGGACACATCATTTCCCGCAGTAAGAATTCTTTTCTGGTAGGAGTGCAGTTCAAGTTTTATATACATTCATAAAAAGAGTATTGTTTTTCATGTTAAGTGTTATGAGTGTTAATATTTCAGACCCATGAAATGATGAACAACTGTTGTGATCTGTGAATACTTGTTGAATCATCCTGCTTGCCTGTTTGAGAAAGAAGGCCCTTTGCAACAGAGAGTGGAACTTTCGCCAACCCACAATCTGGAGGCTTTGAGGTCATTTGAAGGACACATCATTTCCCGCAGTAAGAATTCTTTTCTGGTAGGAGTGCAGTTCAAGTTTTATATACATTCATAAAAAGAGTATTGTTTTTCATGTTAAGTGTAATGAGTGTAAATATTTCAGACCCATGAAATGATGTACAACTGTTGTGATCCGTGAATACTTGTTGAATCATCCTGCTTGCCTGTTTGAGAAAGAAGGCCCTTTGCAACAGAGAGTGGAACTTTCGCCAACCCACAATCTGAAGGCTTTGAGGTCATTTGAAGGACACATCATTTCCCACAGTAAGAATTCTTTTGTGGGAAGAGTACAGTTTATATTTAATGTCCATTTACAAAAAGAGTATTGTTTTTTATGTTTATTGTAATGTGTGTTGTCATTTCAGACCCATGAAATGATGTACAACTGTTGTGATCTGAGAATACTTGTTGAATCATCCTGCTTACCTGTTTGAGAAAGAAGGTCCTTTGCAACAGAGAGTGGAACTTTCGCCAATCCACAATCTGGAGGCTTTGAGGTCATTTGAAGGACACATCATTTCCCGCAGTAAGAATTCTTTTGTGGGAAGAGTGCAGTTCAAGTTTTATATACATTCATAAAAAGAGTATTGTTTTTCATGTTAAGTGTAATGAGTGTAAATATTTCAGACCCATGAAATGATGTACAACTGTTATGATCTGTGAATACTTGTTGAATCATCCTGCTTGCCTGTTTGAGAAAGAAGGCCCTTTGCAACAGAGAGTGGAACTTTCGCCAACCCACAATCTGAAGGCTTTGAGGTCATTTGAAGGACACATCATTTCCCGCAGTAAGAATTCTTTTGTGGGAAGAGTACAGTTTATATTTAATGTCCATTTACAAAAAGAGTATTGTTTTTTATGTTTATTGTAATGTGTGTTGTCATTTCAGACCCATGAAATGATGTACAACTGTTGTGATCTGAGAATACTTGTTGAATCATTCTGCTTACCTGTTTGAGAAAGAAGGCCCTTTGCAACAGAGCGTGGAACTTTCGCCAATCCACAATCTGGAGGCTTTGAGGTCATTTGAAGGACACATCATTTCCCGCAGTAAGAATTCTTTTCTGGTAGGAGTGCAGTTCAAGTTTTATATACATTCATAAAAAGAGTATTGTTTTTCATGTTAAGTGTAATGAGTGTAAATATTTCAGACCCATGAAATGATGTACAACTGTTGTGATCTGTGAATACTTGTTGAATCATCCTGCTTGCCTGTTTGAGAAAGAAGGCCCTTTGCATCAGAGAGTGGAACTTTCGCCAACCCACAATCTGAAGGCTTTGAGGTCATTTGAAGGACACATCATTTCCCGCAGTAAGAATTCTTTTGTGGGAAGAGTGCAGTTTATATTTAATGTCCATTTACAAAAAGAGTATTGTTTTTTATGTTTATTGTAATGCGTGTTGTCATTTCAGACCCATGAAATGATGAACAACTGTTGTGATCTGTGAATACGTGTTGAATCATCCTGCTTGCCTGTTTGAGAAAGAAGGCCCTTTGCAACAGAGAGTGGAACTTTCGCCAACCCACAATCTGGAGGCTTTGAGGTCATTTGAAGGACACATCATTTCCTGCAGTAAGAGTTCTTTTCTGGAACGAATGCAGTTTAAGTTTTATGTACATTCATAAAAAGAGTATTGTTTTTCATGTTGAGTGTTATGAGTGTTAATATTTCAGACCCATGAAATGATGTACAACTGTTGTGATCTGTGAATACTTGTTGAATCATCCTGCTTGCCTGTTTGAGAAAGAAGGCCCTTTGCAACAGAGCGTGGAACTTTCGCCAACCCACAATCTGGAGGCTTTGAGGTCATTTGAAGGACACATCATTTCCCGCAGTAAGAATTCTTTTCTGGTAGGAGTGCAGTTCAAGTTTTATATACATTCATAAAAAGAGTATTTTTTCATGTTAAGTGTAATGAGTGTAAATATTTCAGACCCATGAAATGATGTACAACTGTTGTGATCTGTGAATACTTGTTGAATCATCCTGCTTGCCTGTTTGAGAAAGAAGGCCCTTTGCAACAGAGAGTGGAACTTTCGCCAACCCACAATCTGGAGGCTTTGAGGTCATTTGAAGGACACATCATTTCCCGCAGTAAGAATTCTTTTCTGGGACGAATGCAGTTTAAGTTTTATATACATTCATAAAAAGAGTATTGTTTTTCATGTTAAGTGTAATGAGTGTAAATATTTCAGACCCATGAAATGATGTACAACTGTTGTGATATGTGAATACTTGTTGAATCATCCTGCTTGAATAATTGATAAGAAGGCCCTTTGCAACAGAGCGTGGAACTTTCGCCAACCCACAATCTGGAGGCTTTGAGGTCATTTGAAGGACACATCATTTCCCGCAGTAAGAATTCTTTTCTGGGAGGAGTGCAGTTCAAGTTTTATATACATTCATAAAAAGAGTATTGTTTTTCATGTTAAGTGTTATGAGTGTTAATATTTCAGACCCATGAAATGATGAACAACTGTTGTGATCTGTGAATACTTGTTGAATCATCCTGCTTGCCTGTTTGAGAAAGAAGGCCCTTTGCAACAGAGAGTGGAACTTTCGCCAACCCACAATCTGGAGGCTTTGAGGTCATTTGTAGGACACATCTTTCCCGCAGTAAGAATTCTTTTCTGGGAGGAGTGCAGTTCAAGTTTTATATACATTCATAAAAAGAGTATTGTTTCTCATGTTAAGTGTAATGAGTGTAAATATTTCAGACCCATGAAATGATGTACAACTGTTGTGATCTGTGAATACTTGTTGAATCATCCTGCTTGCCTGTTTGAGAAAGAAGGCCCTTTGCAACAGAGAGTGGAACTTTAGCCAACCCACAATCTGAAGGCTTTGAGGTCATTTGAAGGACACATCATTTCCCGCAGTAAGAATTCTTTTGTGGGAAGAGTGCAGTTTATATTTAATGTCCATTTACAAAAAGAGTATTGTTTTTTATGTTTATTGTAATGTGTGTTGTCATTTCAGACCCATGAAATGATGTACAACTGTTGTGATCTGTGAATACTTGTTGAATCATCCTGCTTGCCTGTTTGAGAAAGAAGGCCCTTTGCAACAGAGAGTGGAACTTTCGCCAACCCACAATCTGAAGGCTTTGAGGTCATTTGAAGGACACATCATTTCCCGCAGTAAGAATTCTTTTGTGGGAAGAGTACAGTTTATATTTAATGTCCATTTACAAAAAGAGTATTGTTTTTTATGTTTATTGTAATGTGTGTTGTCATTTCAGACCCATGAAATGATGTACAACTGTTGTGATCTGTGAATACTTGTTGAATCATTCTGCTTACCTGTTTGAGAAAGAAGGCCCTTTGCAACAGAGCGTGGAACTTTCGCCAATCCACAATCTGGAGGCTTTGAGGTCATTTGAAGGACACATCATTTCCCGCAGTAAGAATTCTTTTCTGGTAGGAGTGCAGTTCAAGTTTTATATACATTCATAAAAAGTGTATTGTTTTTCATGTTAAGTGTAATGAGTGTAAATATTTCAGACCCATGAAATGATGAACAACTGTTGTGATCTGTGAATACTTGTTGAATCATCCTGCTTGCCTGTTTGAGAAAGAAGGCCCTTTGCAACAGAGAGTGGAACTTTCGCCAACCCACAATCTGAAGGCTTTGAGGTCATTTGAAGGACACATCATTTCCCGCAGTAAGAATTCTTTTGTGGGAAGAGTACAGTTTATATTTAATGTCCATTTACAAAAAGAGTATTGTTTTTTATGTTTATTGTAATGTGTGTTGTCATTTCAGACCCATGAAATGATGTACAACTGTTGTGATCTGAGAATACTTGTTGAATCATTCTGCTTACCTGTTTGAGAAAGAAGGCCCTTTGCAACAGAGCGTGGAACTTTCGCCAATCCACAATCTGGAGGCTTTGAGGTCATTTGAAGGACACATCATTTCCCGCAGTAAGAATTCTTTTCTGGTAGGAGTGCAGTTCAAGTTTTATATACATTCATAAAAAGAGTATTGTTTTTCATGTTAAGTGTAATGAGTGTAAATATTTCAGACCCATGAAATGATGTACAACTGTTGTGATCTGTGAATACTTGTTGAATCATCCTGCTTGCCTGTTTGAGAAAGAAGGCCCTTTGCATCAGAGAGTGGAACTTTCGCCAACCCACAATCTGAAGGCTTTGAGGTCATTTGAAGGACACATCATTTCCCGCAGTAAGAATTCTTTTGTGGGAAGAGTGCAGTTTATATTTAATGTCCATTTACAAAAAGAGTATTGTTTTTTATGTTTATTGTAATGCGTGTTGTCATTTCAGACCCATGAAATGATGAACAACTGTTGTGATCTGTGAATACGTGTTGAATCATCCTGCTTGCCTGTTTGAGAAAGAAGGCCCTTTGCAACAGAGAGTGGAACTTTCGCCAACCCACAATCTGGAGGCTTTGAGGTCATTTGAAGGACACATCATTTCCTGCAGTAAGAGTTCTTTTCTGGAACGAATGCAGTTTAAGTTTTATGTACATTCATAAAAAGAGTATTGTTTTTCATGTTGAGTGTTATGAGTGTTAATATTTCAGACCCATGAAATGATGTACAACTGTTGTGATCTGTGAATACTTGTTGAATCATCCTGCTTGCCTGTTTGAGAAAGAAGGCCCTTTGCAACAGAGAGTGGAACTTTCGCCAACCCACAATCTGGAGGCTTTGAGGTCATTTGAAGGACACATCATTTCCCGCAGTAAGAATTCTTTTCTGGTAGGAGTGCAGTTCAAGTTTTATATACATTCATAAAAAGAGTATTGTTTTTCATGTTAAGTGTAATGAGTGTAAATATTTCAGACCCATGAAATGATGTACAACTGTTGTGATCTGTGAATACTTGTTGAATCATCCTGCTTGCCTGTTTGAGAAAGAAGGCCCTTTGCAACAGAGAGTGGAACTTTCGCCAACCCACAATCTGGAGGCTTTGAGGTCATTTGAAGGACACATCATTTCCCGCAGTAAGAATTCTTTTCTGGGACGAATGCAGTTTAAGTTTTATATACATTCATAAAAAGAGTATTGTTTTTCATGTTAAGTGTAATGAGTGTAAATATTTCAGACCCATGAAATGATGAACAACTGTTGTGATCTGTGAATACTTGTTGAATCATCCTGCTTGCCTGTTTGAGAAAGAAGGCCCTTTGCAACAGAGCGTGGAACTTTCGCCAACCCACAATCTGGAGGCTTTGAGGTCATTTGAAGGACACATCATTTCCCGCAGTAAGAATTCTTTTGTGGGAAGAGTACAGTTTATATTTAATGTCCATTTACAAAAAGAGTATTGTTTTTTATGTTTATTGTAATGTGTGTTGTCATTTCAGACCCATGAAATGATGTACAACTGTTGTGATCTGAGAATACTTGTTGAATCATCCTGCTTGCCTGTTTGAGAAAGAAGGCCCTTTGCAACAGAGAGTGGAACTTTCGCCAACCCACAATCTGGAGGCTTTGAGGTCATTTGAAGGACACATCATTTCCTGCAGTAAGAGTTCTTTTCTGGAACGAATGCAGTTTAAGTTTTATGTACATTCATAAAAAGAGTATTGTTTTTCATGTTGAGTGTTATGAGTGTTAATATTTCAGACCCATGAAATGATGTACAACTGTTGTGATCTGTGAATACTTGTTGAATCATCCTGCTTGCCTGTTTGAGAAAGAAGGCCCTTTGCAACAGAGAGTGGAACTTTCGCCAACCCACAATCTGGAGGCTTTGAGGTCATTTGAAGGACACATCATTTCCCGCAGTAAGAATTCTTTTCTGGTAGGAGTGCAGTTCAAGTTTTATATACATTCATAAAAAGAGTATTGTTTTTCATGTTAAGTGTAATGAGTGTAAATATTTCAGACCCATGAAATGATGTACAACTGTTGTGATCTGTGAATACTTGTTGAATCATCCTGCTTGCCTGTTTGAGAAAGAAGGCCCTTTGCAACAGAGAGTGGAACTTTCGCCAACCCACAATCTGGAGGCTTTGAGGTCATTTGAAGGACACATCATTTCCCGCAGTAAGAATTCTTTTCTGGTAGGAGTGCAGTTTAAGTTTTATATACATTCATAAAAAGAGTATTGTTTTTCATGTTAAGTGTAATGAGTGTAAATATTTCAGACCCATGAAATGATGTACAACTGTTGTGATATGTGAATACTTGTTGAATCATCCTGCTTGAATAATTGATAAGAAGGCCCTTTGCAACAGAGCGTGGAACTTTCGCCAACCCACAATCTGGAGGCTTTGAGGTCATTTGAAGGACACATCATTTCCCGCAGTAAGAATTCTTTTCTGGGAGGAATGCAGTTGAAGTTTTATGTACATTCATAAAAAGAGTATTGTTTTTCATGTTTGGTGTAATGAGTGTTGTAATTTCAGACCCATGAAATGATGTACAGCTGTTGTGATCTGTGATCGTTGTTGTCGTTGTCATCAACTGTTCACATTTTCAATTTCTTCTCAAGAACCACTTGGCCAATTTCAGCCAAACTTTTCACAAAGTATCCTTAGGTGAAGGGGATTTAAGTTTGTTCAAATGAAGGGGCACGCCCTTTTGCAAGGGGAGATAATTATGAATTAGAGGAAAATTAATGGCATTTTTAAAAAATCTTCTTCTCAAGAACCACTGGGCCACAAAAGATGAAACTCATGTGGAATCATCCTCAGGTAGTGTTGATTCAAGTTTGTTCAAATCATGACCCCAGGGGGTAGGGTGGGGCCAAATGAAAGTTTTACATAGGAATACATGGGGAATCCTTTTTAAATCTTCTTTTCAAGTACTTCAAAGCCATGCTTATAGTGATATTTATAGGAAATCGTCCTCAGTTAGTGTATAGTCTAGTTTGTGCAAATCATGACCCTCTGGGGGGTTAAAAGTCAAGACCCCCCCCCCCCCCCAGTAAACTTTCAGTTCTGATCTGATATGTGCTTTTTCTTAGCTAATTGCTCATGTGAGCGATGTATTTATCGAGGTGGTAATTGTTTTATGAATCTTAATCTACATGTACGCATGCATGATAATTGTAAGTGGAGGTGACGTTTGTAACTGAGCGGGGGGGGGGGGGGGGGGGGATCCAACATGAAATTAAGCACTTTTGAGTTTGTAGTTATTTGCTACTAAACTTTTAATGATATTGAATAGAATGGTATACTATTTTGTCCAATAAACAGAATATCTCAATTCCAGATGCACGATTTTACATGCCTGTACATGCAGGTACAATGTAAGTACAAGTTTAAATGATGCAAATTGACCGCAAACAAATCTTCTTCTCAATTGAGCGGGGGGGGGGGGGGGGGGGGGGAATCCAACATGAAATTAAGCACTTTTGAGTTTGTAGTTATTTGCTACTAAACTTTTAATGATATTGTACAGAATGGTATACTATTTTGTCCAATAAACAGAATATCTCAATTCCAGATGCACAATTTTACATGCCTGTACATGCAGGTACAATGTAAGTACAAGTTTAATTGATGCAAATTGACCGCAAACAAATCTTCTTCTCAAGAAATTAAATTTAGCATTTAAAAAAATTCTTTCACATGCAAGGAAAGCACGTCAAGATATTCAAAGCTGAAATTATAGTTTTTTAATTTTATTTCAGGCTGTCTTCAAAATTCTCTCTTGAGAGATATGTTGGCTCAAATCTGTACTTAGATTGGAGTCCTATATATTTATATTGAGAAACAGAAAAGAAGGTACGCCGCAATTCCACCAATATATACGGTAGTCCCTGCTAGATTTCAAACTCAGTTTACCATTTCTAGTTAAAATTGTACAGTTGTGGTGAGGAAAGATAAATGTGATCTTTTCAATAATTTTACATCTAAATATATAATACAAAAAAAAAAAAACAAATATACTTTGAATATTTCATCTAGTCAAAAACCAGACAAGAATCCCTCCTTAAAGACAATGATGAATATTCAAAGAAAATTGTGAAGTGTTTGTTAGACTTTATTGGCCTTCTATTTTTTTTCCCATTCCCTCCTTTTTTCAGTGAACCAACCATGCCTTTAGAAGTGGACACAGATGGATACAATTTATCATCAATAAAACCATGGAGATCAAAGGAATGAAACAAAAAACTGTTGGTATTTTTTTATAGTTTCATTTTTGTACCTTAATATTTATACACTGCATGTTTGTATATAAAATGCATGTTGCTTGTAGACATATTGGCTCTACTGGTCAAAGATCAGAAAAGCTTAACATGCATTGGTAAAATGTTTGTCATCCATCTGGTTGTCTGTCAACATGTAGATTTTAAAATGTTGATCTTCTTACAATTTTGGATAATTTAATAGAACTCAGTACAAAAGTAGATTTTACATTAAGTCTACATTAAGATAGATTTTATTAGTTGGACTTTGTCATCTTTTCAATTATTGAATTTGCCATGGTCAAAAAAACTAAATTTCTTTGAAATGCTTTCAAATTTCTACTTTTAAATCAGTGAGGTTGCAGTACATTAGAAAACTACACTAAAATACAAAATTCTATCATATGATACAATTTCATTAAATGTGTTGCCCTGATTATGGATTTCTTTGGTATTGCCTAAAGATTGAAATATCTCTGAAATATCTTTAAAAATGCCACTGTATCTCCAGATTTCTTCTAAATTCAATAGAACTTAAACTTTAAGTATTCAAATGACAAAAAAGGGTCATTTTAGTAGAGTATAGAAAACATCAGAAACATTTTTTTTTAATTAACAAAAAAAATACAAGTGTTTCAAGTTCATATCCATTTCTTATTTTGACAGCACAAACCAGTATTGAGCAACAGTCAGGTAGTTCAACTATGTCAGTTCTGTATTAAAATGGGAATATACTTATGAAAACCAGAAAAAAATATTTATTTTCACATTTGCATCATTTTAAACATTTAAGTATACATTGTTTACATAGTTGTTTGAGGGGTATTTAAAAACAAAACACAGATTTGTACTTCTAAATTTTTTGAATGGTTTTTTCTTAGTTGATTAACGTTAATATTATGGATTTCATTTCTTTTTTCAATTTTGAAATAAGAAAATATTTCTAATTACACAATTTATAGTAAATTCAATGAATGCTAAATTTTCTCATTTTACTACAGCACAGACATTTCGCTCATTGTAAGTGTCTCCATGTAGTAAGAATCTGGTAGGGCAACATGGACACTTCTGAATGAGCGACAATGAACCTGGGGGCCCAGGCGATACCCCTGCCCTTGAGCAGATAATACAGTTGACAGAAACTTGAACTGACACTTGATTTCTAGATTCTTTTAAGTTAGCTCTTCAGAACTGAATTGCATACAATACAAGAGTGAGTTAAGGGTATAGAGTAGAGAGAACTTTGGTTATCAAGAAGGGTAAATACTTGTTGCACTGATTAAAACAGAATTGAAGATATGTTTTTAAATAATTCGACTTTTTGTTGTAAAATTCATCAGTAAAAGAGAAAAGTATTAGATTTAAAAGTTTCAACGAGGATGTCTGATTATAACAACTGTGGCTTATAATCAGCAGAGTTTTTAGGAAAATGAAATGATTTGTTTCCTATTGTTTTCTTCTTAGAACAGAAGAACATGCAGATATGTATAATTGTTAAAAAGTTTTGATGTCATCTTAATTCCCCGCCCCTTCAGATAGTGTCAGCTTCTTGATTCTTGATGCTGGGGGACTCATGCCAAGAGTGTCAATAAGCTACATCCAGTTATCACACGTCATGGCCATGTAGTATACAAACATGTATTTTAAATTGAATGAATTCATGAAAATTTTGTTTTTAAATATGTTTTATATAAATACTAGTAATCAAGTACTTAAAGATCTTACTACAGATTACGAAAGATGTATAAGCTTGAATTGGAAAATATCCTTCAGTTAAACAAAGACATCATATTTAATTAGCAGAAGGTAAACACATTCCAAAAAGGAAAGCAGTTTCTTTGCAGCAATTAAGGTGATGATTTGTGGTTTCATGTTTAGCTTGACACATCAGAGACCAGAAGAGCTTATGCAATAGTAAGATATCCATCTTTCTAGCTGTCTGTCTGCCTATCTGTAAACAATTCTTTTTTTCAAAATGGTAGTCCTCCTACAGTTTTGGTCTGATTTCAATATACAAGTTGTGTAACTTGGTATACAAGATATACAATTCTTGATTTCAGTGATTGTTGTTGTTGTTGTGCTTACTTAAATTAAAGATTCTTTGAAATATACTGACAAGCAAAAGAAACGCAACACCCTACTTTAGGGGGAAAAAATTAAGTAAAGTAAAGAATTTTGTATCTTAAAATTATGAATTTCTTCAATTTGGTAAACATCGGTAATTTAAGCGTTGAACAATTTCATACCATAACCACAAGTCATGTTTGAGTTTGCTTAACAGAAATCAAAAATTGCATGTTTTAACCAAAACATTTGGCAATATTATGGAGTTTTAAGGGTTTTTTACTGTTCATCGTAAGTAATGCAGCAATATTTCAAAAAAATAAACTCTCCTTTCGTTCCCCGTAACGATGCTTAGGCTACTTGAAAATAGGTTATGTACACATTTCCATAGCTCTAGCTAGTAAATTTCAATGTAAGGGTGATGGAGAGTTGCTGATGCGAAATTTCACTACATTACGCCTCAACAGGGTCTTACGTATCATAATTATGCATTAAGGACAGTCCTGCTACCGGAAGTCCAAGGGTGGCTACACTGCTCTAAGTTCGAGAAAATTCGATCTAATTATCTGAAAAATGGACATTTAAAAATGCCAAAAAAATAATTCCTTCTCTCAGATCTCGACATTAATGAACCTATTGTATCGTAGAAATTAAGCTGTAATTGTTGTTTAGGGCAGTCTTGCACGTTTTACTTGAATGGCTGGGAGGGGGGTGTTTAAACAGTCTTATTTTACTTAGTAAAGTAAACAGATAAACATTTAACATTTTTATCAAATCTCTGATGTTCTGAAAAGTGAGTTTAGTCTTACTTTATTTTATTACTTTAAGTTTTGAAAATCATAAGATAAAAAAATCAAACGTTTGTAGATTACTGCTTGTTGTGTTTCTTTTGTGTGTCGGTATACTTTCAAAAGGCTAATCCTCCTACTGTTATGGTCTGATTTTTATGTAACATGGCGTACAAGTAGACCTCACTAAGATACATAATTCTCACCTG